TAGTAGTGAGTTTATAATGTATCTTGCTTTCTTTTTATGGTTGTCCCAAAATAGATATTGAAAAAAACGTCTTTAAAACTATTACACCTGATCTGGATTTCAAAAGCATTTAACAATCCGTAGAAATACCAAAGTACTAAAAGCAAAACATAATACATAGCCAGATCTTCTCCGTTAACCCACCCAAAACCTTGTCACCGGCTCCATACATTCTCTCGGACTTGCATACTTCGTTTATTACATATACATGAGAACATAAGAGAATAGAATTCTCGTAAGCAATAATGCTTAGTAAGTCACCATTTCATCCACTAAAAACATTTAAGGAATCTCAGCTAATCATAAATAGATACTCATGCTTAATACACCACACATATATTATAATCACACATGAAATGCGCCATAACACACATAAGTGTTCACATATCAAACCCCAAGAGATTTCCCTGTTCATCATTCTTTCTTCTCATCTTGTTCCTTGACTTTATGGGCCCGTAGCTCATGTCATAGGCCCCTTGCCGATGACCTCGGGTAGCTAGCCCGCATCCCATCAGAAGTAATCTCGGGACTCCCCGTGGAAGGCTGTCCCGCTACGCTCAGCTCAGGTAGTTACTTGGGGGCACGACTACCTTAAAACATTACTTATCATTCCTTGTATATCATTATCCTCATATCTTCATTTCATCGTTGGTTCTATATGAACCCAAACCAAAATCAAACATAGAACATGAATATCTTACATTTAATCATTCAATAGTTTTCATTACCATCATAACTTTTTTTCATTTCCATTCCACATGAACACAATCTTAAACATATATTCTGAACACTTTAGATCACATAAATAAATGGCTCCACAATTAAGATGATCCGTCCATAGACACATACAACTTGGAGTTCACATAATCTCATGCCATACAATTTCAAGTATTCAAGCAAGTATATCAGTTCATCATTAGCTAGAATTCCATTCTTTATGTAGAACTATCATGTATAGGTGGTGGTGAGTTACCTGGTTCACGCGGAGTATTTACCCTTGTATGTGCGTGTACGACGTCCACGAGCAATGGTTCTTCGATGAGCAACTATATTTATAAATACACAATTTTACGCTTGATCAAACTTAAGTTCATGTCTTTAGAAAAATCCTTAGACTTAAATATGAGGGGAAGTTCACAAATTAGCCCCTACAAGTGAGAAAACTCCCAAATTCCTACAACAAATCGGGCATAACTTCGGGGTAACTAGATAACTGAAAATCGGTGGAATTTCATGAATCAAGAATCATCAACAAGTAATTAATTACTATAATATCTAGAAACTCTATGTATTTACTTAGAACCAGCCCAAAATCAACAATGCTTGTGGAAATCCCTGAACTAAGACCTAAAACTGAAATAGAAAAGAAATACTTCATATGGAGTGAAAATCTTACCATTTAATGATCCTTGATGAAGAAACATGTTTAATTTGAGCTTGAGTCACTTTGAGGAAGATTTGGGATCAATTTGCAGAGAGAGGGACGAGCAAAAGTCGGTTTTGGGGTGAAAAGCTTCATTTTTCGTTAAATATGCATTTTTCCACCAACCGCCAAAACTGACCCGACCGGCGCCAGTCAGGGCCCAACCGACGCCAGTTGCCCTGCCTTTCTACCGCCATACATTCTATTTTGGACCGGCTCCGGTCCGGGTCCAAGCGGCGCCGGTCCGGGTCCAACCGGCGTCGGTCCGGGTCCAACCGGCGTCGGTCCGGATCCAACCGGCGCCGGTCCGGGGTTCCCCCGGTGCCGAAAAACGTCGCTTTTCGCCCTAAACCGACCCGATTGTTGTCGATCCCATCCTTGACCCTCGGTGACATTTTAAACTACATTTGAAACACCCCAATACTATCTAACATGACAACTAACTCAATATACCATTTCACCCGAAATAAAAATGATTATTACAGTGTCGTTTCGTTGCTCATCGGGTACCGTCGCCTATCATGATAAAACATATTTCAAGTATATAATTCAAATACAATTATCACCAAGTTCATAATCACATGATATCCATCTACTTCACATATATAGCACTCAACCATAAATCAAATCATGATCATGTATAATTAATTAGCACATAAGAAGTCGATAAAAAGTATGAGCGTTACAATTAATGTGTTACTTAATTATGTATTTAATTATGTATTAATGTTGTAATTGATTAGTCACAACTGATGATTGCGATTATCATTTCTAAGCACCGATAAAAGGTAATTGTAATTCAAATGAACAATATGCCATTTATGGCAACTAAAATCCTTGAGCACTTTCCATTTTCATCGACTTTCTTGATTCCTACTTGAGTGTTCTGTCGTAGCTTTCCTAAAAGCCCACGAGAGTCCATTTTGGACCAACGCTTAGTAATGTCGTCATCGCCGCCAAAATATAATACACATTCATGTGAATATGTTATTAAGAATTCTCCCACTATTCCCATAAATCATTGTGCCCGCCTTCACCGCCAAAATATAGAGGAAATATTTGTTCGTTAGCATTTGTGTACATAGGGTGAGCAAAGTCACCATGTAATAAAATTTCATAAAATAGATGTTCACTTTGAGTACTCGGATGCAATGATATAAACCTTCACACCATGCATACAAGGACATGATTGAGTACTCAAAGTCTTCTTATCACACCCATCCAATATGTATTGCACTTTCCATAAAAACTACTACGTATTTATTTACATGCATTGCTATAACACAACCTCTTACCATGTACACCACCGCTGGATTCGGATGGACACGCAGGATCTTTATACACATATTCATATTGATATTTAATAAGGTCCGTAATTAAAGAAGATTTGATTTAACAAGGACGGTTTGGAAAGGATTTGGCCCTGCCTGGCATCTTTTGAGCATGTATCTTTGTGATTGTATTCAACTCAGAGAGATGTTGGAGCATGTAGTGAGAGTTGGTAGATTTAAGTATAATAAAGGATGGATAGTTCAAAGGGAACCAGTTTGTGGACATTAACATGTTACGGTTAAAACAATATTGGGGTATTCCTAAGTAATAGGGACATTTAAGATGATAAGAAAAGTGTATAACAATCTGATGCGACTCGTATACATTCTTATTTGAAACGTTTGGATTTTAGTGAAACACATTGAAACGTTTGGACACTAACGAAACATACTGCACAAACTGCCTGTTTACATGCCATCAACACAAACGACATGGAGTACTTTGATTGAAGATGATATTCTTTTATATAAATGTGATTGTCTGGATATTTCTTACCCTCATATATGTCTTTTGAAGGAATCCACGCAGGGCACACTAATACTTTTGGTGCTCCCCTGAGTTAAATGGGACAATATCTTGACTGCAACTACTTTCAAATATGTCATTATATTCTTATAAAATGAATCTACATAATCTAGAGATTTGCCTGGTTAGACATGAAAAACAAATACGGGGAAAAACTATACTTCAAGAATAATGACAATTTATAGGGTAAAGTGGTGGGACTGTGGGAATATGAAAATGTAACGTCTTGAAAAAGTAAAAGGGGAATAAAACAAAATAGAAGTAGTTGACATACATGTGAAATATTTTCTATATACGTAGTGTGCATATATAACTATGTGAGCGCTGAGAGAGATGTTGTTCATATGAAGAAAAACAATAATGATACATTTTTAGAGACAATTAATGACATACCTAGAAAATATCAATTATTTACATATTTAGAAAATACCTTAAACGGTAATAATGGCATGATGAGTTAGCCATGTAGAATGAAAAATATTATATATAATAACGAACATGTTAATCTCGGAGTTCTCGAAAAAGTGATGAAAAAGTGTAGGCGTGCCAATGACCAACACGGATAGAGAGATAGTGAAATTAATAAAAATGACGGGAAGCAATATATTATACGTTTGTATGGACTGCTGTCATCACACTAACCTTGATCATCAATCAAATTCAAACAAAGCTCATCTATTTATATTTTCCACCTAACTGAATAACAAATATGGGTCAATATATCATATGATCTTCTTCATTGACATTGTAACATATAAAGAGAACAATTTATGAAGAAATAACAATACATATCGATGAGAATTCTAGAAAAACTCAACATGTAGTTGAGCTTGATGAAAGTGTGTCTGAATGCTCTTTCGTTGGGATAACAAATCCCATCCCATTATCATTTTCCGAAGCCCAATACATAAGCTTTCTTTGTAGCATGGTACTTAGGCTCACTTCATGCCCCATTAAGATAATAAGGCCTCTCGTATCTAGATAGCTTACAAAGATCCATTAATAGCCTCTAAAGCTCTCTTTATTCTGTATGTAAAAAATGATGATGTAATTAATAAATGAGGTAACATAAAATGGCGTCAAAACACACACATGTGCCCGTAATTAATAAAATGGAGAGGTCGGCAACACAAAACTTATGCAAATAAAAATAGCTAAATAAAAAAACACTCCTTGATCGGGAGTCATAGTATGATATTGATATGTGAGAGGATCAAATTTTGAGAGACGAGTTCATATGCAATTGGTCACATTCTTTGTGTGCGTGCGCGTTGGTGCAACCAAAAGAATGCAGACATTTGGTAGGTGATGCACTATAGAAACGAAATACTTATAGCGAGTGATGATTGGTCTAATTTCACTTTGTTTAGTTGACTGAGGTGTTGGTAGAAATTGCCAGATTTCATAACATTCAACGGATCACATAAATTCAGTTGATTTTAGTTATCTGAACTGATCTTAACTGTCTTGTCCAATCAAATACTCTAAGGGCATGGAATATGATTGATTGAGCATATTCTTGATATGATTATATGAGAATAATGAGGATCAAGATTCTTATTTCAACAAAACCTAAACTAATAAAGAAAGGACACAAAGAAGAACAAAAAATGATAGAGGGCCATGGACCTCATGTTTCAGAAACCAAGGGCCCAAACAGCAAAACCGCCCAAGGAAGGAATGAATACACAGGGGCTCTCTCCCTTTATTTGCAACTGGTGAATTGTATAAAATCACCTCTTCATCGCACTCCCAGGGTTAATAGTTAAAACCACTCTGCGTTGCCCCACAACGAAGGAACCCATTCTCTCCTCCATTCAACCCTCGTTTCGCCACTGCCGGGGGTTTTCCTCTCTTTCTAAAACCTCTGTGTACAGTTCTAGACCTTTGGATGCATGAGCATCTGCCGACTTTGTTATTCAGGTAAGCAAAGAATTAGGAACGCCCGATAAGTTCATTTGTCTTATTGTTTATTTGATCGATTTAGTTTTTATGATATGGTTATTCAGATTCCTATCTGTTAACGATTGATGCTAAATTTTAGAAATTTTTCTTTTTTCAGATTGTTTTTCACAGTAAATAACAGTGGAAAAGTAGGGATTTCGATATGGCTACTCTGAGATCGAGCTTGCCCTCGAGGCTGCGGCAGCTCTTTTCTAGCGATGGGGCCATCGGTCCCTCTGTTAAACTTGACTCTGAAACGGTACGTGATTGTTAAATGGTTTTAAACCCTCTTTGTAGTACATATTTTATGCTATGTTGCATCATTCTGCGTAATTTGGTTTTACTAATTACTGTGCTCACAAAAGGGTTAAAAATATCATTCTTTGATTTTTTTTCAACTAGAATTTTGAAAGTAAATCTTTGCTGTACACAACCTGTTCCAAGTTTTCTGTATATTCTCAAACTAGAATACCGTTTCATGTTCACATTAGATTGTTGCTATCGTTGCTCACCCAAGGTTAGCAGGTTTTTAGTTTTGAGGAAGTCTATACCTTGTCCGTATTTAACATTCTTTTGGGTTGTGTGGGGATGATTCCCACTTTTTGTCCCGTTCCTTTTTGAGTTTTCCAAGCCAAAAGTTACAAGTGCATAGAGAGGAAAGAAATACAACAAACAGTTACTAAAGTCCTACGCAGGAAGCTCATTATAATTACCAGGATTTATGCAAAATTCAAATATAAAGCTATGGGATGCACAAATTCTTATTACTTAATCAACAATTGTCATTTAACTGTCTACCACAGGCATTGATCCCCAGGAATGACTAGAATGCCGTAACATAAAACTTTCTTGCATGGCTATATTTTTTTAGAGATTGCAATTCCCTTCACAAATTTGTCCTGTTACGTTACATAGTCTCAACTAGCATATATACTGCTGGTTCTTGTCTCTAGATTAATGAATTAGCTAGAATGTTCTTTGAAGGCATCCTAGATTTGTTTTCATATCTAGCGTGAACATGATATCTGGTGTTTATGATAAATTACAATCTGCATTAACTCTTGTTATAATTTTTTATATGAAAAGCTCATTGAGTTTCACAAGAATGGGATGTTGAACTCCTTGAAGTGTAAATCAGTAAATTCTACGTAGGCAAGTGTAGTGCACCCTGCATTTGTTACACTATCATCATTATCTTCACACACTCCTTTCCGTTCCTCCTTGAAATTCATTCACGGTAAATCTCAAATAGACCACAGATTCTCAGTGAAGTTCCATCATTTGCAATGGAGCCGAAGATTCACTATTTTTTGTCTTGGGAATGTGATGAAATAAAGCAAAATGGCTTACTAAACTGTCTGCGCTTCTTTGTTATGAAGCAACAGTCAGTCCATGCAATTTTTGACGCGTTTTTCACCTTGGGTCAATCGGAAACAGTCTCTCTGTACTGTAGTATAGGGGTAAGGCTGCGTACATCCGACCCTCTTACCCCACTGTAGGTGGGAGCCTTTGCGGCACTGGGCTAAATGAAAATGAAATGTATAAGTTTTGAAAATTGTACTGTAATGCATTAATGCATTAATAATGAGGTTTGATTCCAGGAACATTAGGGCACTATTATTTAGTACTCTCTTCGTCCCGCTAAGATTGTCCCATCTTTCCTTTTCGGTCCGTCCCACTACGATTGTCCCATACCAAATTTGGTAAAATTTGCGTGGTTCTAAATCATTCTTACTTTATCAGTTCAATATCAACCACACAAACCCACTTTTCTTAACAACCTCACCACCTCCTTATGTCCCAATGTTAGTGGGACGGAGGTAGTAATTAATCAGTAAGTCTATTTGCCAAGAAAAAGTAGAAGAAGAGACACCATGGTAAATGTGCTATTCTGTTGCACTAGATGAAGGTTAAGTATCACTTGGAAGTAACAATCTGATGAACATTTTATGTAAAAGTTTAGCAAGTTGACAGTTTGACTGTAACTTGACCTGCACTTAGGTTCAATTTTTATTTTGCTTATATCATTTGATGTCTTTTGATCTTATACTGTGTCATCTATAATTTCACTGTAACTTAACCTGCACTTTGGTTCATTTTTTATTTTCATTGTTCTTTATATACAAACCTAATACTGCATTCTTATGCTTTATGTGCCCACATTCACTTGTTTGGGTCAAACAAAAACTTAATGTATGCTGCCAGTTCCAGGCATTTTTATTTCTGATATTTCCTTTTATGATATGACTTCGTTAGTTCGCTGCCCTTTTTATCTCTTTTCTAATTTCTACTTCTATGCAGCCTCCAAGAATAAAATCATTTATTGACAAGGTGATCCAATGTCCATTGCAAGATATAGCAATACCTCTTTCTGGATTTCGTTGGGAGTATGGCAAGGTGTGCTTCTTTACTACATTATAATGCTATGCCTCTGCATTAATGTTTTATTTTCTAATCTACATTCTCTCGGTTTTCAGGGAAATTTCCATCACTGGAGACCGTTGTTTCTTCATTTTGAAACATACTTTAAAGCATATGTGTCTTGTAGGAAGGACCTTCTCCTGTGCGATGATATTTTAGGAGATGTTAGTCCATTTCCCAAACAAGCAATTCTACAAATTTTGCGTGTGATGCAGGTTATTTTAGAAAACTGCCATAACAAGAGTTCATTCAGTGGGTTGGAGGTATGTTGTGATTGGAAATATTTGATTTCATGTATTGTGCATTGTGTATTATGTAATGTGGATGTTGTATGACTTACCTTTTTCCTGCTAATGTGGGCTTGTTTCTATGCAGCATTTCAAGCTCTTGCTTTCTTCAACTGATCCTGAAATTCTCATTGCAACCCTAGAGACTCTTTCGGCTTTAGTGAAAATAAGTCCATCCAAGCTACATGCAAGTGGGAAATTGATTGGCTGTGGGTCAGTGAATAGCTGCCTCCTGTCACTTGCACAGGGTTGGGGAAGCAAGGAAGAAGGGCTGGGCTTGTATTCTTGTGTTACTATCAATGAAAGAACTCAAGATGAAGGACTCTGCTTATTTCCATCTGATGTAGGACATGTTGACGACAATAAGCTATATCGCTTGGGTTCAACTGTTTATTTTGAATTGCATGGTAATAGTGGCAGTTCTCAAACGAATGGAGAAGGTACTGAAGCTGCACTGTCTTCTTCGATGAGTGTGATTCACATGAGTGATCTATATTTGCGGAAAGAAGATGACCTATCTCTTATGAAATCCTGCATTGAGCAATACAATCTACCTACTGACCAGAGATTCTCATTGTTGACCAGAATCAGATATGCACATGCTTTAAGTTCACCTAGAGTGTGTAAGCTTTACAGCAAGATTTGCCTCCTTGCTTTCATTGTGCTTATCCAGGCTAATGATTCCCATGATGAACTTACATCATTTTTTGCAAATGAACCGGAGTACACTAATGAGTTAATCAGAATTGTGCGGTCTGAAGAAACCATTTCTGGAGCTATTAGAACACTTGCAATGAATGCACTGGGAGCACAGTTAGCTGCATATGCATCATCTCATGAGCGAGCACGAATTTTGAGTGGATCAAGCATCAGTTTTGCCGGTGGTAATCGTATGATACTCTTAAATGTTTTGCAAAGAGCAATTTTATCATTGAATAGTTCCAATGACCCATCTTCTGTGGCCTTTGTTGAAGCTGTCCTACAGTTTTATCTGTTGCATGTCATATCATCCTCAAGCTCAGGAAGTGCTATTCGAGGATCAGGAATGGTACCAACTTTCTTACCTCTAGTAGAGGATTCGGATCCTTCTCATTTACACCTTGTTTGTCTGGCTATCAAGACTTTACAGAAGCTCTTGGACTACAGCAATGCAGCGGTGACCCTTTTTAAAGATTTGGGTGGAGTTGAGCTTTTGGCTCAGAGGCTGCAAGTGGAAGTGCAAAATGTGATAGACTTGGCTGGACGAGAAGATAAGTCCATGGAGATTGGAGAATCTTCTAGAAGCAAGGATGACGAAGTGCACTCACACAAGAGACTCATTAGGGCTTTGCTGAAGACACTAGGTTCTGCTACTTATGCACCTGCAAATACTGCAAGATCTCAGAATTCTAATGATGTGTCATTACCTGTCACACTGTCACTGATTTTTGGCAATGTTGAAAAGTTTGGAGGTGATATTTACTCCTCGGCAGTGACTGTCATGAGTGAGATAATTCACAAGGACCCCACATGTTTTACCATGTTGCATGATCTGGGTCTTCCAAATGCTTTTCTATCTTCAGTTGTGGCTGGGGTACTACCTTCTCCTAAAGCTCTTACTTGTGTTCCTAATGGACTTGGTGCAATCTGTCTTAATGCAAAGGGGCTAGAGGCTGTTAAAGAAATGTCAGCTCTGCGCTTCCTTGTTGACATCTTCACTGAAAAAAAATATGTGATTGTTATGAATGAAGGTATTGTCCCATTAACAAATTCTGTAGAAGAACTGTTGCGCCATGTATCTTCCCTTAGAGCCACAGGAGTTGATCTGATAATTGAAATTATCAAGAAAATATCATCATTTGAACAGTCTGAGCAAGCAGAGTCATCTGTGAAGGCAAGTGGAGGAAGTGAAATGGAAATGGATTCAGAAAACCATCAGAGTGTTGGTCCTTGCTCTCTAATTGAGGCCACGAATTCACCAACAGAAGATATGGATGATGAGCAATTCATCCAGTTGGCTATCTTTCACGTAATGGTACTTATTCACCGCACGATGGAGAACTCTGAAACATGTAGGCTGTTTGTTGAAAAATCAGGAATTGAAGCTTTGTTAAAACTCCTACTATGGCCAAGTATTGCACAATCTTCAGAAGGCATGTCTATTGCATTACATAGCACCATGGTTTTCAAGACTTTTACTCAGCATCACTCTGCTGCTCTTGCTCGTGCTTGCTGTTCCTTCCTTAGAGATCATATGAAGAAAGCTTTGATGGGTTTGGGTGGTGGTTCTTTTCTACTGGATCCTAAAATCAGTCAAGATACCACAACCTTTTCCTCACTTTTTCTGGTTGAATTTCTTTTATTTCTCGCCGCATCTAAAGACAACCGATGGGTAACTGCATTGCTGAGTGAATTTGGAAATGGAAGTAAAGATGTTTTAGAAGATATCGGGAAAATACACCGAGAAATTCTGTGGCAGATTGCATTGCTTGAGGATGCCAAGCTCGAGGAGGATGGTATGCGTGAAGGTTCTGGCGATGATTCACGTAATTCAGCACTTGATGGAGAAGAACAAAGGTTGAGCTCCTTCAGGCAGTTTATTGACCCTTTGCTGAGGAGGAGGATGACTGGGTGGAGTTTCGAGTCCCAGTTTTTTGATATCATATCTCTATATCGCGACCTTACACGAGGTTCTGGTCTTCAGCCACGACAGAGTGGGGAAGAGACTTCAAACATGCGATTTGGAGCAAGTAGTCATTTGCAGCCGTCAAGTTCTGTTGATGGGGCTGGAAGTAGTGTTAAAAGAGATGATGACAAGCGAAGATCCTATTACCATTCATGCTGTGATATGGTTAGGTCCTTGTCAGTTCATATCATGCATTTATATCAGGAGTTGGGTAAGGTTATGTTGCTTCCCTCTCGGAGACGGGATGATTTGCTGAATGTGTCTGCTCCATCGAAATCAGTCGCTTCAACTATTGCTTCCATTGCGTTGGACCATATGAATTATGCAGGCAGCGCAAATACATCAGAGTCAGATGTCTCTGTGTCAACAAAGTGCCGATACTATGGGAAAGTAATTGAGTTTATAGATGGGATTGTACTGGAGAAGCCTGATTCATGCAATCCTGTATTGCTAAATTGTTTGTATGGTCGTGGGGTTATCCAGTCAGTTTTGACGACATTTGAAGCTACAAATCAGTTACTTTTTGCTGTGAACAGAGGTCATGCTTCTCCTATGGAGACTGATGAAAGTTGTTTGAGACAGGCTGGTGGTGGTCAGGATTCTGCTGACAGTTCGTGGATACATGGTCCTTTGGGTAGTTATGGCAAACTGATGGATCACCTTGTTACCTCATCTTTGATTTTATCTCCTTTCACAAAGCATTTACTTACTCAACCTTTAATAAGTGGGGGTATTCCATTCCCCCGAGATGCTGAGACATTTGTCAAGGTTCTTCAATCCATGGTGCTGAAGGCTGCAATACCTGTCTGGACTCATCCCCAATTTGCAGAATGCAGTCCTGATTTCATTGCTACAATTCTAAACATCATGAGGCATGTGTACACTGGAGTGAAAGTGAAGAACACAAATGCTACTGCTGCTCGTATTGCCGGTCCTCCTCCAAATGAAGCAACTATTTCAACAATTGTAGAAATGGGGTTCTCTAGGTCTCGAGCTGAAGAAGCCCTAAGGCATGTTGGTTCAAATAGTGTGGAACTGGCAATGGAATGGCTGTTCTCGCATCCAGAGGAGGCTCAAGAGGATGATGAACTTGCCCGTGCGTTAGCAATGTCTCTTGGGAATTCTGGATCCGATGCAAAGGATGATGTTGCACATGAAAACAGTGAAACAATCGAAGAAGAGATTGTCCAACCTCCTCCTATGGATGATTTATTGTCAACATGTAAAAAACTTCTGCAGATGAAGGACTCTTTGGCGTTTCCTGTTAGGGATCTTCTTGTAATTATATGTTCCCAAAATGATGGTGAAAACCGGTCTAGCGTGATCTCATTTATGATTGAGCAACTGAAACTGTGCACCAACATCTCTGATACTGGGAATATAAACATTTTGGCAAACCTATTTCATGTCCTTGCTCTAATCCTTAATGAAGATCAAGCCACTAGAGAAATAGCTGCCAAGAACGGTCTGGTGAAAGTTACTTCTGATATTCTTTCACAGTGGGTTTCAAGCCCATTTGACAGGGAGAAAATCCCCAAGTGGGTTACAACTGCTTTTATTGCTATTGATCGACTTGCCCAGGTGGACCAGAAGTTGAATTCTGACATGGTAGAGGTGTTAAAGAAGGAATTTGGTTGTCAGAAATCTATTTCAATTGAGGAGGATAAGCAAAATAAGATACAGTCATCTCTAGGATTATCTCCAAAATATCTTGATCAGCAAGAGCAAAAACAGCTGATTGAAATTGCTTGTGCCTGTCTTAGGAACCAGCTACCGTCTGAGATGATGCATGCTGTTCTGCAGCTCTGTTCGACTCTCACAAGAAACCATTCTGTAGCTGTAATTTTTCTAGATGCTGGAGGTTTGGATCAACTACTGTCCCTGCCTACAAGCAGCATGTTCATTGGGTTTGACAACATTGCTGCTACCATAATACGCCACATTCTTGAAGATCCTCAGACACTTCAGCAGGCAATGGAAACTGAGATACGGCATAGCATTGCAACAGCTACCAACAGACAGCCAACCGGAAGACTGACACCCCGTAGTTTTCTCTCCAATTTGACTTCCGTCATTCAGCGTGATCCTGTGATTTTCATGCAGGCTGCTCGGTCTATTTGCCAAGTGGAGATGGTTGCTGATCGGCCATATGTCATCTTACTTAAAGATCGTGAGAAGGATAAAAAGGATAAAGAAAAGGAGAGAGAAAAATCTGAGGAGAAAGATAAGCTTCAAAATAATGATTTGAAGATCGGTGCACCTAGTGTGAGCCCTACTTCTCATGGGAAGAGTGTTGATACAAGCTCTAAGAATGCCAAACTTCATCGAAAGCCCCCTCATAGCTTTGTGAATGTCATTGAGCTACTTTTGGATTCGGCTGTGACATTTGTTCCTTCTGTTAAAGATGAATCTGTTTCTAAAGAGGGCACATCTTCATCAGATATGGACATTGACGTTTCTGCTAGCAAGGATAAAGGAAAAGCAATTGCATCTGTATCTGATGGAAGTGACACTGATAACCAAGAGTCTTCGGCATCCATGGCAAAGATAGTGTTTATCTTGAAGCTCCTCCAAGAGATCCTTTTGATGTATGCCCCGTCTATTCATATATTACTCCGGAAAGATGCTGAAGTCAGCTGCAAGAGCGCGCAGCGTGGTCTTCCTGTAAACAGTACTGGTGGTATCTTTCACCATGTTCTTCACAAATTTCTTCCATATTCTAAGAGTTCCCGGAAGGAAAAGAAAACTGATGTGGACTGGAGGCAGAAGCTAGCAAGCAGAGCAAGCCAGTTTGTGGTAGCATCTTGTGTGCGCTCCACAGAGGCAAGGAAGAGAATCTTTACTGATATCAGCACTGTGTTCCATGATTTTGTGGAATTAGCCAAGGGTTTCAGGGCACCTGGTGTTGATTTTCTGGCTTTCATTGACCTACTCAATGATATCCTTGCTGCTCGCACACCTACAGGCGCCTCCATTTCTGCAGAGGCTTCAGCTAATTTTGTAGATGCTGGTCTAGTTCGCTCTTTGACTCGGGCTCTTCATTTATTAGACCTTGATCATTCTGATTCAGCCAGGGTTGTTACTGGGCTTGTAAAAGTGTTGGAGGTGGTCACAAAGGAACACATTCATGCTGCAGATTCAACTACCACAAGGGTTGACCAAACAGCAAAACCACAGGAGCAAAATCAACATGAAAGTGAAAATGGTGCTAGTGTGACACATGCTATGGAGACTGCTCCTCAAGCTAATGTGGACTTGGTCCAAACTGATCATGTTGAAGCTTTTGGTGCAGTTCAGAACTATGGTGGATCTGAAGCAGTGACTGATGACATGGAACATGACCACGATATCGATGGTGGATTTGTTCTACAAAATGATGATGATTACATGAATGAGAACAATGAGGGCACTATAACTCTGGATAATGGCATTGACACAGTGGGGATAAGATTTGAAATTCAGCCTGATGTACAAGACAATCTTGGTGAAGATGAGGATGAGGATGATGATGATGATGATGAGATGTCAGCAGATGAAGGCGATGATGTTGATGAAGATGAAGACGGGGAAGAGGAAGAACACAATGATCTTGAGGAAGATGAAGTGCATCACTTGCCTCATCATGACACAGATCAAGATCATGAAATTGATGAAGAAGAGTTTGATGAGGAGGTGATGGAAGAAGATGAAGAAGATGATGAGGACGAAGAGGATGGTCTCATACTTAGGTTTGGGGATGGAATGAATGGTCTTAACGTATTAGACCACATTGAGGTCTTAGGTAGAGATCCTGGTTTATCTAATGAGACTCTTCATGTTATGCCTGTTGAGGTTTTTGGTTCCAGGCGTCCTGCACGTAGTACATCAATATACAATCTGTTAGGAAGAAGCAGCGATAGCAGTATTCCTTCTTTGCATCCACTTCTGGTGGAACCGTCTTCTTCACTTCACTTGGGCCCTATTAGACAACCAGGTTTTCTACACTCTCTCTAACATCTCTTTCACACGCACACACAGTATGCCAAGTTGTTATTGCTGTCTTTATTTGTTTCCTTGTTACTTGTTAGTGAGATCTCATCCTTGCATGTGTTATCTTTTCAGAGAATGTTCGTGATCATTTCTCTGATAGGAACCAAGAAGGAACATCATCTCGCCTGGAGTCTTTCTTCCGGTCTCTGCGTAATGGACGTCAAAGTCATCGGTTGAACTTGTGGTCTAGTGATAGCCAACAAAGTGGTGCACCTAATGTGCCTTCTGTTCCCCAGGGCCTTGAAGATTTGGTTGTTAACCATTTGAGACGTCTGGACTCGGAGAAGCCATCTGACCATGAAGCAGCAGTTGAGACTCACAATAAAGTTGATGTCAGTCAGTTCCCCAGCACAGCAGGGGTAATTTCTGAACGCCCCACTGAAACCAATGAGAACGATGAAACCAGGGATGTTCCTCCTCCATCTGCAGTGCCAGATGGTTCCGGAACAGCTCATTTAACACCTGATGCAAATGTATCCTCTCAGAGAACAGACACATCAAGTGGACAACCTCAATCTATTGAAATGCAGTTTGAACAGAATGAGGTTGTGCGAGATGTTGAGGCTGTGAGCCAGGAGAGTAGTGAAAGTGGTGCAACTCTAGGAGAGAGTCTTCGAAGTCTTGATGTTGAAATTGGAAGTGCTGACGGACATGATGATGCTGGGGATCGGCATGGTCCGCCTGATGCTCGAACAAGGCGGGCAAATGTATCATTTGGTAACACTGCGCAAGCTAGAGATAGGGATGCTGCACTAACTAGTGTATCTGAGGTGTCAGAACCTCCAAATCAAGAAGCAGGGCAAAGTGGGCCATCTGAGGAACAACAACCGACCACAGAGGGTGATAGTGTGTCCATTGACCCTGCATTTTTGGAGGCGCTTCCAGAAGAGCTGAGAGCTGAGGTTCTTTCGGCTCAACAGGGTCAAGTAGCTCAGCCTCAAAGTGCTGACCCACAGACTGCGGAGGATATAGATCCAGAATTTCTGGCTGCACTTCCACCAGACATCAGGGAAGAAGTACTGGCACAGCAACGTGCACAAAGACTGCAGCAATCACATGAATTAGAAGGGCAGCCTGTTGAGATGGATACTGTTTCCATTATTGCAACGTTCCCCTCTGAATTACGAGAAGAGGTATTAGCAGATAGGAAGTAAACTTATTTTTTCTTTTATTTTCAGCCTACTTTTATTAATGATGTTCTATTGTCATTTTCTATTATATTTTGTCTTAGGTTCTTCTGACGTCTTCAGATGCTATACTTGCAAATCTTACACCTGCTCTTGTGGCCGAAGCAAATTTGTTACGAGAGAGGTTTGCACGAAGATACAACCGATCACTTTTTGGCGTGTACCCTAGAAGTCGTAGAGGTGAATCATCTAGACGTGGTGAAGGTCTTGATAGGGCTGGTGTAGCTCGCAGATTACTTGGAAGTAAGCCTGTGGAAGCAGATGGATCACCTTTAGTTGGTGTAGATGATTTGAAGGCATTGATTCGCGTGCTTCGTATCTTCCAGGTATTTTTGCTGGTGGAATTTTACATAAAGCTCTGTGTTAAGTACTGGAAAAAAATCTGAAATTTGGATTTTCTTTTTGTTCAGCCACTTTACAAGGGGCATCTACAGAGAGTACTTCTGAATCTCTGTGCACATGCAGTGACAAGAACTGCTTTGACAAAAATCCTGATGGACTTGTTAATGCTTGATGTTAGAAAGCCTGCCGATACTCTGAGTACTTCTGAGCCTCCTTATAGGCTGTACCGCTGCCAAAGTAATGTGATGTATTCTCGTCCACAACATTTTGATGGTATGGCTCTATAGAAATATGCACACACGCCTTTAGTATCATGAAGTAGGTCCTTGACTAGTGTGATCACAACTTCATATATTAGCAGTTCACGACTGATAAATCTTTCTAGTTGTAAACCCACTGCTGCAAATACGCTCTTTGTTGTATTCATTTCTGATTATATATATATATCTGTCCTAGGCTGTGTGAATTTGTTGTAGTATGATTCTGATAGAAAAAGTATTGAGTTTATGAAGTTGATGTGATAAGAAGAAATTTTAAATTTTCGTAGGAATCCCACCTCTGGTATCTCGGCGTGTCTTAGAGACTCTGACTTACTTGGCTCGTAATCACTCATTTGTTGCAAAAGCTCTACTGGAGTTTAGGGATACTCCACTGCAAGAAGAACCCGTGAACCCTGATCAGAGACATGGAAAGGCTGTGATGGTTGACGGACCACAGCCTGAAGCACAAGTGTCTCTTGCTTTATTGTTGGGGCTGTTGAATCACCCGCTCTATTTAAGGAGTGTTGCCCATTTAGAGCAGGTAGCTTATAAACGATCACGTGTGTGAAAACCGTACTCTCTTTTATTGGAAGTATCTCATGCATTTCCCCTTTTCAATTCAGCTTTTAAATCTGTTGGATGTAATTGTTGATAATGCTGAAGCCAAATCAAATGCTCCTGAGGAGCCTGCACCAGCAACCACTGAACAGCATTCTGCTCCTCAAATTCCGTCCTCAGATGCTGAAATGAACGATGGGTCTCGAGTTACTTCATCAGAAATTGATGAACAGTCTAAACCTTCATCATCCACTGAAACAGAAAATGATGCTCATAGTATTCTTCTCAATCTCCCAAGAAGAGAGCTACAACTTCTGTGTTCATTACTTGCGCGTGAAGGGTAATTGTTTTGATTTGATTATCTCTGATCTTGTGCAATGCATTGTACATTGGCATCATTTTAGTTTATTTTAGACAGCCTCTCTTGACAATGAAATTTCATTTGTCGTAGTTATAGGACATTTCTTCACAACATACTTGGATGTGAAGTTTTATGTGTTTGCCAAATGCCTACGCTTTTAACCACACTTTATAAGCTATAATTAGGCTATTCACTGTATGATTTGAGGATAACCACACTTTATAAGCTATAATTAGGCTATTCACTGTATGATTTGAGGAATCAATGATCTCTGTTCTTTCTAAGTTGAGTTACAACATTCTCTTTCTTTTCTCAGCCTATCAGACAATGCATATGCTTTGGTAGCAGAGGTACTGAAGAAGCTGGTGGCCATTGTACCTTTGCATGGCCATCTTTTTACATCTGAACTGGCTAGCTCTATTCAGATACTTACGAAGTCCGCAATGGATGAATTGCGCAACTTTGCACAAGTAGAGAAAGCACTATTGAGTACTAGCTCTACTGATGGGGCTGCAATTCTCAGGGTTCTCCAAGCATTAACCTCTCTTGTCCCATCACTTGGTGAAAAGGAAAAGGATGAATCAGAAGGGCATGTAACTACTGTTTCTCTGATTTCTGATATCAACACCGCTTTAGAGCCTTTATGGCTTGAGCTCAGCACTTGCATAGCTCAAATAGAAACGTTCTCTGATGTATCAGCTGATGAGTCACAATCATCAATTGCTTCTACATCCAAGGCAGCATCTGGTGCGCTTCCTGCTGGCACTCAGAATATATTACCCTACATAGAGTCCTTTTTCGTCATGTGTGAGAAGTTGCAACCCGGACAGTCAGTTTCAGGGGGTGATGTTGGCGCTATTGCTGCTTCTGATGTTGAAGACACCGTTGCTTCTGCCTCCCAGCAGAAATCTGTAGGACCTGTTTTCAAGTTTGATGAAAAACATGTTGCTTTTGTGAAGTTTGCCGAGAAGCACAGGAAGCTTTTGAATTCTTTCATTCGCCAAAACCCTGGATTGCTTGAGAAGTCTTTTTCAATTATGCTGAAAGTTCCCCGGTTTATTGATTTCGACAATAAAAGGTCTCACTTCAGATCTAAGATTAAACATCAACATGATCATCATCACAACCCTCTGAGAATTTCTGTGAGACGCGCATATATTCTTGAAGACTCTTATAATCAGTTGCGTATGAGGTCGACACAAGAATTGAAGGGGAGGTTAACAGTTCACTTTCAAGGGGAAGAGGGAATTGACGCTGGTGGACTTACCAGAGAATGGTACCAGTTGCTTTCCAGGGTGATTTTTGACAAAGGAGCCTTGTTATTTACAACAGTTGGCAACGAATCAACATTTCAGCCGAATCCCAACTCTGTTTACCAAACCGAGCATCTATCATACTTCAAATTTGTTGGGAGAGTTGTAAGTACACCCGTTATGTTGTTCATGGTGTCTTTTCTAATGAATGAACATTAATAATAATAATGATGATGACCGAATTAATCCAGGTTGGGAAGGCACTTTTCGATGGCCAACTGCTCGATGTTCACTTCACAAGGTCCTTCTACAAGCATATCCTTGGGTCTAAAGTGACATATCATGATATTGAAGCCATTGATCCGGATTATTTCAAAAATCTGAAATGGCTGCTCGAGGTATGCTCATATAGTATATTCGTGGCATCTTCTATTAACACCTGTATTTTCTTGCTTGTTCTAACACTCAAATTTTCCTTTTCCCTTGATCTGTAGAATGATATTAGTGATATTCTGGACCTTACGTTCAGCATTGATGCTGATGAGGAGAAGCTGATACTTTATGAGCGCAATGAAGTATGACTACTTTGATTGTGCACTCTGTTTAGTTTTTATCTCATACAACATCTGTCCTGCTAGGAAAAAAATGCTATTTTTTAATTTGTTTTAATTATCTCGATGCAGGTCACTGACTATGAACTTATCCCTGGCGGTCGAAACATTAGAGTCACAGAGGAAAATAAGCACCAATATGTTGACTTGGTTGCAGAACATCGCCTGACTACGGCCATCCGTCCTCAGATAACCGCCTTCATGGAAGGTTTCTCTGAATTAATATCACGGGATCTGATATCGATCTTTAATGACAAGGAATTTGAACTACTAATAAGTGGCCTGCCCGATATTGACCGTAAGTAAAATCCGCTTCACTAAGTTAAAACCTCCTATGACCCTCGTTATCTCTGAGGGTCCTGTGGGTACTTTTACTAACTTTATGTCCGTGGATGATACTACTCAGTGGATGATATGAGAGCAAACACGGAGTACTCTGGCTATAGTGCAGCGTCCCCTGTTATTCAGTGGTTTTGGGAGGTTGTTCAGAGTTTTAGCAAGGAAGATAAGGCTCGTTTGTTGCAATTTGTGACTGGCACCTCCAAGGTATGTTTAAGAATTGTTAACTGGATTTGTGGTGTAGTGTTTTCTCCAATAAATCAATGGCTATATGTGTACAGTATTGAGAATTTCCATTTTGTCGGTTGGTTGCATTGTTTCAGGTTCCCCTAGAAGGTTTTAGCGCTCTGCAAGGGATATCGGGTTCTCAGAAGTTTCAGATCCACAAGGCATATGGAAGTGCCAATCACTTACCATCTGCACATACATGGTAAAATCACCAGTTTGTTCTTTCCTTGTTTCCTTTGCTCTTTTTTCTTTCGATATATATGTGCAAACAGGGTTTCACCATTATGAAATACTAGTGGTCGTTATAGATTGTCAGCAGTACTATTATAAAACTTTTTTAGTTTGTTTTAACCGTCATTTAGTTGCATGACTTTTGCTTATTAAATATTTTTTGAACAGACTTCATTATAGTTATTTTTTCTTTATTAAGTGCAGTTTCAACAATTTAGATATTGTACACACCTTTGCTTATTAAGTTCTTATGAAATGTATTATTATTTGAATCGCACTTAAAACATTTTTTTTAAATCTGGGAATGCAGTTTCAACCAGTTGGATCTGCCGGAGTATCCTTCAAAGCAGCATCTGGAGGAGAGATTGCTGCTTGCTATTCATGAAGCCAATGAAGGTTTTGGATTCGGTTAAGGCAGGGCAGGGTTGAGTGTGTAGATATTATTTTGTGATCCTAAAACCTTGTTTACAGGGGAGTGACATTGCCAAAGGCCTTTTCTAGATCTTTGATATGCTGCTTTTGCTTGTCTATATACCTAGTGTACAGATTATTATTTATTTTTCTTATGACAAGTGCTTTGGGCAGTTTTTGTTTTGGCCAATCTCATATCTTGTTTCATAGTGATTAGTGATTATACATGTTGGTCCAAGTCCAAAACACTTTTTCTGAAGATCAATGCTTTAAAGCCAAAACAAAGTAGTCGTACATGGATTTCATTTAAAAAGAAAACTTAGTTTCTTCTAGACTAGATGATTGGTTCACTCTGATTTCACCTACACTGATCTAGTTTCCTCCTGTAAATCCATTGGACCTGGATTTATGGAGTCAAATAGATTTGTTGCGCAATCTTGACATACATAAATGCAGCGCTTGAAGGATTGATGGTAAATGGTAATGGTGTCCTGGTAAAAAGCATTCACGAAAGCTCGAGTAAGATAGGGCGTTCTGTCTTTTTCTTGAACGATCAATAAATATATAGAGCAAAAGATAAAGCTCCAAGCCCTGTTCTGTCCGTCGAGACTAGGGGTGGACTCGGGTCCGGGCCGGGTCCTGGTCGGGCCTAGGCCCGGCCGGGCCGGCGGTTCAAGAATGGTGGACCCGGGACCGGCCCGGGTAGCCACCGGGTCCGGGCCGGGCCAGGCCTCCGGTTTGGATTTTTTTTTTTGCTTTCCTAACCCCCCCTCACCCCCCACCCCCCCAAACCCATCCTACCCATCAAGCCCAACCCGGGTGGAACCTCAAAAGCAGAGAACCGGGCCGGTCCCGGTCCTGCACAGTAGCGGGCCGGTCCACGGGCCGAGTGGCCCGACCCGAGTCCAAGCCTAGTCGAGACTGCTTAGCAAGTTAGCAATGCAGTTTAAAGAAGTCAAACTTTTGGTCTCATTTATGTCAGATGTTGAAATGTAATACGGAGTACCTTTTTATTTTATTCTTCAAGCATCAATCCCTAAATATGTAAAACCCTCCCCAATTATTTGGAGTACTCTGTCACTTTGTTACATTAACGAGTAACCGTTTAAAGAGTAACTGTATTTATTTTTTAACCGAGTTTGTACGTAGGGATGGACTAAACTGGGCTGGCCCGACCCGGAACTGGCCCGACCCGTTACTGTTTGGGCCCGGACCGGACTGGGACCGGTTGTCTGGTCCCGGGCTTTTAGCCCGTTTGGGCGGCTCGGGCGGGCCGGGCTCGGGCCCAAGTGCCCAAGTGCCCAACTTTTGGTGAACCGGCTCGGGTTGGGTGTTTTTTCATTTTTTTTTGCTTTTCTAGGTTAGGGTTGGGTGTTTTTTGGGGGGGGGGGGGGGTTGGGGGGGGTGAAGTGGGGGGTCGGGTGTTAATTAGAAACCAAAAAAAAAATTGAACTTGACCCGGCCCCGACCCGGTTAGGCCCGGACCCGGTATCAATCCGGGTTGGTTCCAGGCCCAACATTTTGCAAAAAAAGCCTGCCCGGGCCCGGCCCGGGTCCATCCCTATTTGTACTTATAGAATCTATAGATCATGAAGACTAAACTCACAAATGTAAATGTGTGGATGGTATTCCAATAAGTGGAATACATGAGGAACAACTAGGGGTGGGTCAATGGGTCATGCCATGTTTAGGCGAATCCCATCATTCCTTCTTGTTCCTCCATCCTCACGAACTCACCGTCAATCTAACTGAAATGGTTAAGTAGAAGAGACAGACCAGCGCGATTATTCCCCTGCTTCCCTGCGCTGACTGCGATCTCTGGTCTCCGGTATCCGGCCTCCGCGGCATCTCCCTGTCTTGCTTCACTGCTCGCCGAATCGTTGTTTGACTGCCTCACTCCTTTCTGATTTGCAGGTATGTGTTTGAGATTTTCAGCATTTTACTTTCACTTCAATTTTTGTTATACTTTATCGGCTTTCCAAGCCAATGAATTTGCAATCCGCAGACTATCCCGATCCGACTTTCGAACATGTATGAATACAGATCACTTCTATCTTAAACGTTTTTCACAAATTTGACGAACATAAGCTTTGTTGTACTGGAAATCCTCTTATCATCTCCAATTTGGCTGCATCTAGGCTCTTATGTTGTTGCCATGAGCTATTTTCACATGGTACACCTAGCACGAGAAAGTACTCTCCAACGACATGGAATGTATTCCTTTTCCTTATTTTGTTATAATTCACTTTCAATTTTAGTTGAGACTGAGTGTATTAGGAACTATCACCAGAGTAAGCTCTCCACTTTCAATGCTCTGTTACAGGGAAAATTTGGAACGAATTATGTCTTTGGCTCTGTGTTATGAGACATACTCCCTCCGTCCCCCTAACTTTGTCCCGTTTTACCTTTTTCGTCCGTCCCATTAAGTTTGTCTCATACCATATTTGGTAATGTTTGTGTGGTTACAATTCATTCCTACTTTATTCACACTTTATTAATTCAATATCAATCATACAATTCCACTTTTTCTTAAAAGTTGTGTCACACTCCTTTGTCCCAAACATAGTCGGGTGTTAATTAGAAACCAAAAAAAAATTGAACTTGACCCGGCCCCGGCCCGGTTAGGCCCGGACCTGGTATCAATCCGGGTTGGTTCCGGGCCCAACATTTTGCAAAAAAAGCCTGCCCGGGCCCGGCCCGGGTCCATCCCTATTTGTACTTGTAGAATCTATAGATCATGAAGACTAAACTCACAAATGTAAATGTGTGGATGGTATTCCAATAAGTGGAATACATGAGGAACAACTAGGGGTGGGTCAATGGGTCATGCCATGTTTAGGCTAATCCCATCATTCCTTCTTGTTCCTCCATCCTCACGAACTCACCGTCAATCTAACTGAAATGGTTAAGTAGAAGAGACAGACCAGCGCGATTATTCCCCTGCTTCCCTGCGCTGACTGCGATCTCTGGTCTCCGGTATCCGGCCTCCGCGGCATCTCCCTGTCTTGCTTCGCTGCTCGCCGAATCGTTGTTTGACTGCCTCACTCCTTTCTGATTTGCAGGTATGTGTTTGAGATTTTCAGCATTTTACTTTCACTTCAATTTTTGTTATACTTTATCGGCTTTCCAAGCCAATGAATTTGCAATCCGCAGACTATCCCGATCCGACTTTCGAACATGTATGAATACAGATCACTTCTATCTTAAACGTTTTTTCACAAATTTGACGAACATAAGCTTTGTTGTACTGGAAATCCTCTTATCATCTCCAATTTGGCTGCATCTAGGCTCTTATGTTGTTGCCATGAGCTATTTTCACATGGTACACCTAGCACGAGAAAGTACTCTCCAACGACATGGAATGTATTCCTTTTCCTTATTTTGTTATAATTCACTTTCAGTTTTAGTTGAGACTGAGTGTATTAGGAACTATCACCAGAGTAAGCTCTCCACTTTCAATGCTATGTTACTGGGAAAATTTGGAACGAATTATGTCTCTGGCTCTGTGTTATGAGACATACTCCCTCCCCCCCCCCTAACTTTGTCCCGTTTTACCTTTTTCGTCCGTCCCATTAAGTTTGTCTCATACCATATTTGGTAATATTTGTGTGGTTACAATTCATTCCTACTTTATTCACACTTTATTAATTCAATATCAATCATACAATTCCACTTTTTCTTAAAAGTTGTGTCACACTCCTTTGTCCCAAACATAGTGGGACGGAGGTAGTATTACTACACTTGCTACAGCTGTCCAATTTCCTGCATATGAGCAGATCAAACTTTATTTTGCGAAAAGGGGTAAGAATTTTGCCAATCCTTATTTGTTTTGTTGTGTGTGAAAATGCTTTTCTTGGCTTTGTTTGTCAGATTAGTTGTGTTGACTGGAAATATTCCAGATGAGAAGTGTACCTGTGATCTAGGACCTGGAGAATTGCAGTGGCCTCTTCATTGGCCAAAATAGTTGCCTCTATAATGACTTAGGATGTTTTTACTTGAATTGAAGTGTACCTGTAATTTGCTGGTCTGGTCTGATCTGGTCTGGTCTGGTCTGAACTGATCTGGTCTTGTCTGATCTGGTCTGGTTTCTTTGTATTTTTATAACTATCCAAGTATGGTCTGGTCTGGTCTGATCTGAATTGGTCTGGTCTGGTCTGGTCTGGGACGAATTACAGTCCAAGTAAAAACATCCTTACCCTCACGAGGTAAGCGTGCCTGTTACTCTTGTTTGTGCCTCTAAAGTCTAGAATAACTGACTTTATCACTAGGGCTGAGCAAAACCGACCCTACCCGAATAACCCGATCGGGTGAACCCGATTTTTTGTCATTGGGTCGGTTGACCCGACCCGAACCCAGCGACTCGAACCGCCCACCCTATAATTTTTGGGCCGACACCAAGCGGGTAGGGTTCTCCTAATCCCTACCCGAACCGCCCGAAAACCCGACCAAGCCTAAGCCCATTACCCAACTCCCCAACTACCCAAGCCCATTAGCCCACAACCCACTCCCTTAGTCCCTTTCCCTTATCCGGTTATCCACTTATCCCCATTTCCCTTCGGCCATTACCCTAACTTACACTCTCAGACTCTCTCTCTCTAACTCTCTAAGCGGCTAACCCTAATCTGGTCTGACTTCTCACTTCGTCGGCCGCCGTTGCCGTCGTTGTAGGGCTGTAGCCTGTAGGCCTGTAGTCCTCAACCGAGTGGAAGCCTTCATCTCCTTGTAGGGTTTACCGTCTCTACTCTCTAACCTAGTGGTCGAGTGGAAGCCTTCACTTCGTATTATGGTAAGTTTAGTCCTTGATGAATGATGATGCATGGATGTTCTGAGATGTGATTAGTCTTGTGATGTTCGTATATTTGTGAAACTTGCATGTACAAATCTGTTCGAATGTTCGGTTATGAAATCTGTTGATTGTTGATGTATATTATGATGCATTCCTGTTAATTGTTGATGTATATTATGATGCATTCAGAATTTCAAATCTGTTGATTTGAAATATGAATGAAGTGAGGAAGCTAATCAAGCTATATATTCTATATTCATGTGTTGCCTACTGAGTACTGACTATGGTTATCCAGTTGTCCCTGTTATGTTGTCCCTGTTTGATGAAGAAGCCCTTTTCAACTCTATTACTCAAACGAGTACAAAGAGTGAACTGGGTTCTTCAGAGTCTGTAGAGAAGTGAAAAAGCCAAGTGCTTTTATCCTTCTGTACATCAGCTTGCTGATTGTTCCAGACTTACATATTATGGTTATTATTTGTGAGATATGAACTCTGTGGAAGC